CTGCACTGAGGGAGAGTCATGCATGTTAGAGCACAAGCATCTGATGAAGAGACCATACACTCAAAGGAGAACCCAGAACCCAAGGAAGAATCCTGCACCTGAGAAAGAGCACCTGCATAAGGGAAAGCCCAGCACCTGATGAAAAACCCTGCTGAAGGAAAAATTCTTCTGATGAGTGAATCCTTGGACGTGAGCAAGTCCCTCTCAATTTTTTAAATCATTTCCTTTGTCCTAGGTATGACTACAGCTGATGAGTCAGAAAACAAGGTTGTGTGTTCCACCTCCACCCACAGACTGGCAGGCGTCTAAAGCTACCATTGTCCCACTTTTCTGTGTCCCTACAAGCCCTAGAAATCCCTACAATTCCTCACCTGCAGTGATGCCAAGACCTTCTCTCTAAAATTTTGTCCATGTAAATAAATTAAAAAAAAAAAAAAATATATATATATATACACACACATACATATACAAGTTTACTGACATTCCCACCTCCAAAAGGTGGAGCCTAATTCCCTTTCCTGTGCAGGTAGGCCAGACCTTGTGCCTCACTATTAGGACTGTGGCAGAGGTAAAGCCATGTGACCTGAGAGGCTAGGTCATAAAAAGGATGACTTCACCTGGCACCGCTTTCTCACTCTTGTTCTCAGATTGTTTACTCCAGTGAGGTGCAGCCACTAGGTCATGAGGACTCAAGCAGCCCTTTGAGAAGTCCATGTGAGGAGAAATCCACGTGGAGGGAAACCAGTTGGCCAGCACCAACTTGCAGGCCCTGCTGGTGAGCCCCGCACAAGTGAATCCTCGAGCCTCAGTCAAGCTATCAAGTGATTCCAGCCCTTCAGCCTTTAAGTCTTCCAGCTGAGGCCCTGGACATCACAGAGAAGAGAAAAGCCACTTCACCCATGGTCCCATCTGAATTCCTGAGCCATAGAAACAGTGAGATAATAAGCCTCTAAGTTTTGAGGGATAATTTGTTATGCAGCAGTACAATTCACATGGCTTCACCTAATCTCAAAGAGATGGGGAAGTTCAAATTTCCCATTGGCCTAAAGAAAAAAAGATATTAGTCATCAGTAAATGTCTTGATCTTATCATAAGGTGATCGTGCCACTGTACTCTAGCTTGGGTGACAGAGTGAAACCCTGCCCCCGATCAAACAGCAGCCTAAATATCTTTTTAATCCAAATCCAGGATATCAAAACCAAAATTATCTTATAAGTGAAAATTTTACTTGCTTTTTGTAGATCGTCTCTTGAGGGAAACACAAAAAATGGATAACATTTGTTGACTATTAGAGGAGAGTTGTGACCTGGGGAAATGGGGAGGAGAAAGACTTGAAGTTTACTAAATCATTTTGAATCTTTTGAATTTTATGCTATTTAGATTCCCAATTCAAATTTTTAAAATAAAAAAGTGTATTTGAAAGTATAAAACTACCTATTTAGCACTCAATCCTATAGCCAGGTCACCTTCTGATATCAGAAAATAGAGTTTTAATAGTTTTAAGGATACATTAAATGGCTTATATTAGATCTAGGACTTATAAATTAGTTAAGCTTACTAACTGTTCTGACTTTCACTTTCTGGAGGACAAAGATATTATTTGCTCTCAGATTGATTAATATTTCAACAAAAAACAGAGCTCGGTTTTCTGGGATAGGGGTCTGTAGAAAGAAAGTCATGTATTATTGGTTGATAGGTCTATTCCTCATCTTAGGGCGTGTAGTCCACCAGGCCCTGTGTTGGGTGCTGGAGGATAAAGGAAAAAATAAGACCAAGTGCCGACCCTGGAAACACACTTGAACATTGGAAAGGGACGGGGATTCCTTGCCTTCTCAGAGTTGGGGCTGGAGAAAGAGACATGACGGCCGGGCTCAGTGGTTAGACTTTGGGAGGCTGAGGTGAGTGGATTGCCTGCGCTGGCGGGTTCGAGACCAGCCCAGGCAACTTGGTGAGATCTCATCTCTACAATTTAAAAAAAAATTAGCCAGGCATGGTAACACGTGCCTGTAGTTCCGGCTACTTGGAAGGCTGAAACGGAAGGATCGCCAGAGCCCAGCAGGTTGACACTGGGGTGGCCATGAGTGTGCTAATGCACTCTAGCCTGGGCAAAGGAGTGAGACTCCAACTCAAAAAACAAAAAAAAGAGGCATGACAGACTGAACACCTAGCGAGGACCGAAAGGACTTGAAGTCTAACCGGAATAGAGACATACCACAGAAACCTCTAGAACCTGAAAACAAGGAAGGCCTGAGGAGGGAAGCATGTAGTCAAAACAATGCTTTCTTCCACTATCTGGGTGTCCACACCCAAAGCAAAGTGGAGAATTGAGGCCTGAGTTTCCCAATCAATTGTTCCAGCTCTCAACAGTGAGGAAATGATCACCTTGAGCCAGATAATATATATGGCATCTATTAAAGGGAAGGCTCTGACATCCTAAGCTCATGTAAGACCTTCTGAAGCCTCAGGTTTTCTCTTCAAGAAAATTATTATCAAGAATAAGTATACCCGCAAATAAAATTGTGAGGATTTGAGGATTTGATATAGTGTGTATAAAATAGCTTTCAACATGTCAGGAACATAATCATTGCCCAGTAAATGCTATCTCTTGCTTTTGCTGTTACTGTTGTTGTTGCCTATAAATAAAAGTAAATAAAGTAATGGTGGATTCCACATCTTGGCTCAGTCAGTTCTCATTTTACTCTTTTTTGGGGGTAATTTCTGCAATGCCAAATCTATGAAACTCAGAAGTACATTTCCCAGCTTTTTTTTTTTTTTTTTTTTTTAGTTGGAGTCTCACTCCTTTGCCCAGGCTGGAGTACAGTGGCAAACTCACCACCACCCCAGCACCGACTTCCTGGGCTCCAGCAATCCTTCCACCTCAGCCTTCCAAGTAGCCTGAACTACAGGCATGCACTACCATGCCCGGATAATATTTTATTTATTGTAGAGACAAGGTCTCACCAAGTTGCCCAGGTTGGTCTCAAACCCTCAGGCTCAGACAATCCACTCGCCTCAGCTTCCCCAAGTGCTAGGATTACAGACTGACCCACCTAGCCTGGCCACATTTCCCAGCTTTTTAAAAAAATTTTGAGCCTTCTGAATGTGAATTAGGTTCTGCCATTTAGAGGTAATCATGTGAGATTGGAAGATGGAAGGAGGTAGAAGCCATCTCCCTGCTACTGTTTCTTCTGGCAAGCAAAATGGCAAAGACAAGAGTGTCGAGAGGCAGCCGAAGTTGTGGTAAGGCAGCTACTTGACCTTCAGACCAAGCTGCAGTGGTTTGTTCTTGACATCAGTCAGGGCGGGGGCGGGCGTGGAGTCCTAATTTTCCACTCCTTCAGCTATTCTCATGACTATATTGGCATCTGATTCCTGTATTAAATCCTTTCTGCTTAAAATATCTAGAGTGATGATTCTTATTTCTAGAACTGAATCATGACCGATTCAGAAATGGATGATTCCTCTAAAAAAAATATCGCATGTAAACTTCTGTGAAAGAATTTATTCATAATGTTGCCTTAAACTTGCTTAGATTTAAATGATGAGTTAATTCCCATGTTTAAACCAGCTCGGTGTTTTCCTTGTGATGCCATTCTCTTTGAAAGCTGTTCACATAACACAGTGTAAGTTTTCTGAGATCCTGAATAGTTAACTCTTATTTGCATATCATATTGAAAGCCAGATTGATTATATGTATAGGTTTGGGGTGATCATAATCTATCCATTGTTCTTCTCTATACCTCACATTTGATTCAGAGGAAAATTGTCCTTGAAATAACGTTGGGCCAGGCTCTGTATCTCAGCTTGTAATCCCAGCACTTTGGAAGGCTGAGGCGAGTGAATTGCCTGAGCCCATAGGTTTGAGACTAGCCTGCGTAACTTGGTGAGACCTCGTCCCTACAATAAATTTAAAAATTAGCTGGGTGTGGTAACGCATACCTGTAGTTCAGGCTACCTGGAAGGCTGAGATGGGAAGGATCGCCTGAGCCCAGCAGGTCAGGGCTGCAGTGGCCATGAGTGTGCCACGCACTCCAGCCTGGGTGACAGCGTGAGACTCCAACTCTAATAATAGTAATAATAATAATAATAATAATAATATTTTTTTAAAAAGAAAATAAAACTGAGACTGGGTTCAGTGACTCAACGTCTGCAATCCCAGCACCTTGGAGGCCAAGACAGAAGGATTACTTGAGTTCCAGAGTTTGAGATCAACCCGGGCAACATAGTGAGATGTCATCTTTAAAAAAAAATTAGAAAAGAAAACTAACCGGGCCTAGTGGCGCATGCCTGTAGACCCAAATACTCAGGAGGCTGAGGTGGAAGGATCGCTTGAGCCCAGGAGGTCAAGACTGCACTCCAGCCTGGGTTACAGAGTGGGACTCAAAAGAAAATGAACCTATTGACTGCAGGTTTGCCACACAGGCCCGGACTGCATACCTCCATATTTATTTTACATAAGAAAACAAAATCTATCTCTAACTTTTTGAAGTCACTATTATTTTATTGCTACTTTATTATTAAATGCAGCAAAAAACTACCCCTAATTAATATTAGAGGAACAGTCAGACTTCTCTTTATATAAGCCATGGACTATTTCTCAGTTTCTAAAAACAAGTACATTCTCAAGAGCTGCCTAACTACTCACACACAGTAGGCATGCTGCCAAAAATGTTGATGTAGTTTTAAAATTAAAGACACAGAAATGATTTCACTGAGGCCAACTCAGTGTACATAGCAGTGAATTTTGTAAGTCAAACAAATAACTTTGACTTACTCATATTGCCTTTTTTTATTTTATTATTTTAAAGATGTGGGGTACAATTCAGGGTTAGGTATACAAATGGTCATTAAAGTTTGGGGATCACTTTGGTCCCCATATTATGTTACTTTCAAAATTAAATTAAGACACTAATTTTAGGTTATGCAAAAGGCACGCCCTCAGCCCTAGCTGATGAGTTGATGACGGTTAGAGTTATTGATTCAAGATGGCTGAGTTTTGTTTAAACTGGCCCTCTACTGTTCACAGTGGGACCATGCCAAAGCTGACAGCACATCCAATGTTGTAGTCTTCTTTGTAGCTCTTTATTCCAGAGCCCATAGATCAGAGGGTTAAAACACTGGGCAAATGCAAAAATACCAAGAAGCACCAGATTTAAAGCAAAGAAAAACACCCCACATATCTTCCCCAAACCTACAACTATCAGGTTTGGTATTATATGTAAACTTATCTGCACTAAATTAATAAGAACTGTTTTCCTTGCTTTGGCATTTGACCTATTAAAATGGCCAGCCCTTTTCCCTTCTTGGTATATCAGAAAGTAACTTATAAGAATGATAGTCAAAAGAAGGAAAAAGAAAACCATGTCAGTGACCCTGGTGGGAATGCCATTCAAGATCACAGGGCAAAGGGGCTCAGATTTTAAAATAGCAACTGCAGTGAAGTTAGTGCCTTCTATGAAGAACAAGCAAATATTTTTGAGTATAATAGTTATCCAAGTCCCAGTCAGAATTCTATACTTAACTGAATCTACAAGGGACAGAGATGTCAGTGGCCAGCAAATCATCATATAAGTGTTGACAGCCATCAAAGTCAAAGTAAAGAGGATCCCATCTCCAAAGCTTATATGTGCCCCAAACACCACCCAGCATATCAGCAGGGGGCTGTTGGCCGACAGGGCCCGCATTCCTTGGAAAACAATCCCCGAGCAGTAGAAGGAAGAGATGCACAGCAGATAATGACAAAGGAGTATGTATCGGACCTCTCTCCGCAGTTCCGAATTCTGTGACACTATTTTGGTCATGATGACAGTGACAAACATGGCAAAGGTGAAGGCAACCACATAGAAAGAGGCCTTCACTGTTGCTTCTAGCCTCAGCCAATCTGAGATGTTGCAGTGCTCAGAAGACAAGTTCATGATCTTCGGGGATAGCTTGGCTCCTGGAGGAGAAAAGAACAAGAAAGAGTGAACCTGGGTTAAAGCTTCTTATACAGTTTTCCAGCTCTCAGATTTTGTGTGCAAGCTCAATGAACAGATTGCATATTCTTCAGTACAGAAGATGACAATTTTAGACAGTGTTAATAGGGATCAAAGACACTGGAAAAATCATCTTGGTTCTGTTTTATTTCAGAGGAGGAGTAGACACACAAATCATCCAAAAGGAAGATTTGAAAGATGTACTCTTGGTACTCAGCAAATCGCTCAAATTCAGGTCAAGGTTTTACTGTTTATGCATCCTTTTCCATCTTTGATTGTGATAACTTTCAATTCAGAGCACAAAGCACCACATTATCAAACCAGTTGATTTACCACCAAACTCTTGTAAACATTTCATAAATGCAAAGCACTCTGGAAAGAAGCTAGGGCAAGAGCTGTAAGGAATGGGGGAAGTCATTGACTCAGAGCCTTGAATTCATTTAGGTCCATAGGACATGAAAGGGAAAGTAACAATAATGATGGCAATTTACTAAGTGCTTTCTAGGGATCAAAAACTGTTTTCAGAGCACATTTCTCACTATCCCTGGGTATGTTTTATTTCATACCATGAGGTTTTATTATCCACTTTTCATAAATGGGGAAACTGAGGCTTAGAGAGGCTGAATCACTTGCTGAAGAGCATATGGTAATTGCATAATGGGACCAGGATTATCTCTGGAGCCTACATTCTCAACCCCTACAAGAAAGCTTATGTCAAATGCAAGGTCAAATAAATGTTTTTCTCTGAGTTCTCCTTTGGTCATTGTCATTTGACCAGCAAACTGATTCCATGTGTAGAAATATTGTTTTTGTTCTTAGGAAACTAGAAGACTGCACATCTAGGAAGGTACTGGGATCTCGGGGTCACTGGGGAAATGTAACCAACAAACTGGTCACTTTATGCCTACCTCATAAAGCCTTCTCAAGTGTGCACAGCCATGGACCACACACTGTGTAGCAGCCTGGGAACCCCCAAATTATTGCATCATTGTTGTCACCATGAAAGTCTACAGTGGAGATACCAACTGTTGCCTCCCCACCTATGTCCCCTCCAAGGTGTCTCACTCCTTCTTCATAAACGACAGCATCACCTCCTCCCCTATCAAAGTTGATTGTCATCTGACTCATGGACTACACTGAGTCAAATTGGAGTCAGTTTCTTAAAAATCCACACAAGGCACACAAAGAATGCAGTTGAGAGTGACATCTCATACTTGGTGTCAAGTCACAGTGTGAGTTGAAGAAAGAGGCACAGAGAGGATGGAAAGAAGCACAGAGAAGTGAGACCACAAGGCCCCTAGGTGGCCACAAATGCTCGTGCAAGACAAAGAGAACAACCCTTGCCCCTGAATGTCTTATTTCACTGAGATGCCCTGACATTTCTGTCCTTGGGTTCTAAAAATATAACACATCCTCTATTATTTGAGCTAGTTTAAATGGATTTCCATTTCTTTATTCTGTCCTCTAGACTACAAAGTATATAAAATGGACCCTCAAGAGGCAAAATAAATTATATCGATTTCCTAAAGGGCATATCACAATGGAAATACAACTATTTCAACTTCCCGAGAATCTGAAATACCGTAACTCCTTATAAAATCTCTCGTTATAGGCATAATTGTTCTCCCTGGGTATTGTGCTGTTCCCTTTTGTGGAGAACTTTCTTTTTTATGTGGAATTTTGGTGTCATTATCATATTTCTGAACTCCAGGCATTTATTTTCTCTTCAGTTCTCCAGAGAGGAATTTAAGTTGTGATGTCCATTGTCATTGTCAAAGTCATCATCGAGCTTTCTTTTAAGGGCAGATTTTTCAATCACAGTCTTACACAAGAACCCCTCAATATTAAACATAAAAATGCATATCTGATGTCTTTAAATTCTTTCTCTTTAATCGCTCACTCCCAGAGCACACCCCAAAACTGTTCTCAAGGCATTGCCATAGAAACTGAGAGCCCCAGTGAAGTCTGTATGAAAACCCTGGTAAGCTGAAACAAACACTCTGCACTTGGACTGGGGGAATCACATGATCACATGGACCAGGCTCTAAGCCTAGATCTGCTGCTAACAAAGACTGTGACTTTGGATATCAAAGTCTACAGTGGTAATGGCCTCCCTGTCTGCATGGACCTCCCAGCTATACATACTCCTAGACTCACTATTGCCAGGTTTGGCCCAGTTGATGGGCTACATATTCCCCTTTGCCTAGCTGTCTTCCAAGACCCAAAATCCCACAAAGAGCATGCAGTGGCCATCACTGAGCTTCCTTTAGAACAAAATTTTAAGGCTAGTCTCAGTGGCTCACGCCTGTAATCCCAGCACTTTAGGAGGCCAAGGCAAGAGAATTGCTTGAGCCCAGGAGTTTGAGACCAGCTCAGGCAACACAACAAAACCTCACTTCTCCAAAAAACAAAAAAATTGACTGGGTGTGGGGGTGCACACCTGTAGTTCCAGTTACTCAGGAAACTGAGGCAAAAGGATCACTTGAGCCCAGGAGGTGGAGGCTATGGTGAGTTGCACTCAAGTGTGGATGACAAAGTGAGACCTTGGCTCAAAAAATAAAAAATAGAAATAAAATTTTAAAAGCTGTTTTTTTGCCCTCCCCAAATTACTACAGCTGCAAGTATAATAAAAGCTAAACCACCAAAATCCTCCCCCCCCCGGATCTGAAATGGTTTCAGGGAACTATTTACTTTTGAGACCAGGCAGAGACTAGTTACTTTAGTTTTCTAATATGTAGCACATTAATCAACATAGCACATTGCTTTGTCTTGGTACCCAACCAACCTTTATTGAGCGTTGAAACATATAGTGCATATCCTAAGCAGTGACGTTATAAGGTCGTAAAAGAGTTGCTGACATACAGAAGCTTATTCTCCAGTGAAAGAGGCAGAATACGGTGTAGTTAAATAATAACCAAAAACATCTTGTATAGTTTTACTCATTTACCAAATGAATAAGAAAGCCAAGTGTGCTACAGGAGGATTGTTCAGAGATAAAAGGAATCCCTGTGGTCTGACACAGTCAGAGAGACTTCCTTGAATCAGACCTTTCATGGACGAAAAGCAGAACAAAGTAGCATGAGGGCTGAAGTGGAAAGGAGAAAGGACTCACGCAGATTCCAGGCCAAAAGAATCATTAGAACCAAGGTGGAACCATAGCTGCTGTGTCCAGGGGACAATGAGTGAATGGGTTTTGTGGGAGTAAAGGGATTATTTGGTGTATTTGGGACAGATTAAGAGCACAACCAGATTTGGAAGCCCTTGACACCATTCCAAGGGTGAAAATTCATTTTCTAGGCAGTAAGGAACAGCATATGCCACAGGTTAAAAGCCAATATGAGATGCCCACCTGCACATGGTAGCATCTGCTATGAGTTCTATCTGCAGAGCAGGAAACTCAGTAAAAGAGAAATTCTCACAGTGAAGACATTATTACCATAGTGAGTGGCTTAGAATACTTTTTGAGCACGTGGAATCTCCAGGCAGGCTGGAAATCTGCAAAATCAATGAGGGCAAGTTTGATTGCCTTTCATTTATTTATGAGGACTCGGGAAGATCAGTAATTTATTCAGAATCACACATCCAGAAAGAATCTCCCAGTCTCCAAATTCACATTCCTTCTCAGAGGTGTATTTGCATATCAAGAGCTTGTGGCAACCAAACCTTTATAATTTGCCCCTACTATACATATTTACTCCATTTAGTCATAGTTCTTATAGCCTTCTTCTTCTTCTAAAATCTAAAATAGGGTCAGATGCATTGGCTCAAGCCTATAATCCCAGAACTTTGGGGGGCTGAAGCGGGCATATTGCTGGAGCCCAGGAGTTTGAGACCAGCCCAGGCAACACTAAGACCTCATCTATACAAAAAAAAAAATTAACCAGGCATGGTGGCACGTGCCTATATCCCAGTTACTTGGGTGGCTAAAGTGGGAGGATCACCTGAGCCCCAGAGATCAAGGCTGCAGTGAGCTATGATCATGTCATTTCACTCTAGCCTGGGCGATAGAGTGAGACTTCAACTCAAAAACTAAAAAAAAAAAAAAAAAATCTAAAACGGGGAAGGCCTGTTTCCTTTTAGCCCAAAATGTTGTTTTGACTTCAGCTTTGAAAGAAAACTATGGAGCCTAGAGACTTCAGCAAAGAATGGCATTCTATCCACAAGTACCCTGACAAAATCAGAAGCAGCCACCACACTCTGCAAAAGTTCCGTAGGAAGCAGATGTATGTTAAGGGTTGGCCTGGGTACACACAAGCACACTGAAGCAAGTGAGCCGTGGTGGTGGGTGCAGTGAGTGGCTTGTCCTAGGAGCCATGCTCAAGGCAAACTCCTGAGGGCAACGTGCTGCCCTTGGTGAGAGACTGAACATATGAACAGATATGGCCAGACCATATATAAAAAATAAAACTCCAATTCACAACCTACGGCAACCAGCCCAGGAAACCAATCCCTTATCTATAGTAACCAGCTTAGAAAGGCAGCCCGCTGTAAATTAGACTCACAGGAGGTCAGATTGCTATCTTTAGTAACAATCCAGGAAGTAAGCAATAATCCCTATAACAACAGACCCAAAATGACCAGTACTTGATTAATGCTGACAGTTTTCCTAATTTTTGACCAAACTTCCAACTTAGGCCCAACCAGAAAAAGCCCAATATGTGCCCCCAACCAATCACAGAGGATGCCCCGCTTCTAGTTAGCTGCTTACAGCCTTCCCATGCTAGCAGCCTCCAACGAGGGCACACTTGAAACCTTTTCTTTTTTCCACTATGAAGCTTTCTCACTCCCTCTGCCTGCCCTTGAGTCTTTGCCAAAAGGCAAGCTCTGAATATATAACCTTTGCCTGTTATCATTTGGTTGGTCTTCATTTATTTCTACATCAGTAAGAAAAGATGACTCTGGCGGCTCTGCAACAGGACATGTACTTTGAGTCATTTTTC